CAGAGAAATATAAATTCTTGTGTTGGTAAGGAGGCTGGTAGTACTTTCAAATTCAGGTACTCGAAATCTTCTGACACTAGTGTTTCATTCCAATACTCAATCTCATCTCTTTCACAGTCAACACACTAACATTTACATAGGTGTAGACGTTGTGAATTAAATCAACTTTATAATTAACGAAACTTAGGATTTATTATTGGCTATGTCATCTCTGCAGTTATGAGATAATTGAAATATTAAAATAATGAGATAATCAAAACATTAAAATATGAGATAATTGAAACATTAAAGTTACATTTTCTCTCTTTAAGTTCTTTAATGCACTTAGAAGCACAGCCTCATGCATAAGTCATGAGTCTCCATGAGAATGGCTCCTCAGGAATTTACCACTATTGCCACAAGCTTCAGAGTCACCTGCACTTACTATGATCTGCATCAGCAATATAGATGACTGAATTAAAAGTTCTTTTATGAATGTATCTGATTAGCAGAACCAAATCACATTGCCACAGAAAATGTGGTGCTTACAGTCTGTGCACATAGATAGGCTTATTTGAAGGTATTTGAAAGATGCAAAATGAGCAAATACACAACATTTTTAGAGTAGTAATACCCAGAAGAGAAATTTAAATAATTTATAAAAATAAATTAACTAAAATTTACTGTAATCCTCAATTTACAGATGAGACAACTGGGATGCTTTAGTTGTGATTAAGGGAATTCCATATAATATACTATACAAGGCAGTTGTTCTATTGACACTCTTGTGCTGCATAAAGCTGAATTATCCTTGAGTAAATTGTACGTGGATGGTTGTATGTTATTAAATTAAAATTGGCATTATAATAATAGTAATAGTCACACTTTATTAAGTGCTTGGAAGGTATCAGACATGTTTGTAAGCACTTTTTAAAGTGTTGTTTTAATAAATATTCACAACTACTCTGAGAAAATTACTATTATTTCTCCTAATTTTCATATAAGGAAACTGAGTCGTTGAGAGTTTTCCCTAATTTGCTCGAGGTCATACAAATGGACTGTGATTTCTGAGACTATAATACAGTGAATGAGGGAGTACAAAAGCTGCTACTCATACTTGAATAACTTCACCTCATAGAAGCCACTGTTATCAAGGAGTGATACAGAACTTTCCTAATTTAATAATATGGTTGAGTGTTACTGTGCTATTTCACTATTGTGTATATGAAAATATTTGAAGTCAAGAAAGCTTCAAAAGTGTGATAGCCATGGAAATCTGATCATAGAAATCTATTTAGTAGCTTAATGAGTCACAGACACATTTTGCCCCACATATGTCCACAGTGGAGATCCTGAGACATAGACCTAAAATCAGAGAGGTTCAGTTGGGTGAATAAGGAGTTTAAGAGGTGGCCAGCATTGTTGATGGGATATAGAGGTTTGTATCCATAGTTATGAAAAGCAAGGAGTCCTAGAAAGCCCTGATATAAAAACTTGTTCAAAAAAGATGTCAGAGCAGAGCAACGATAATTTAAAGGCAAAATATATTGATAATGTAAATAGAAACTAGGCATTTTGAGACTTCCATCCATTTGTTGATTAACAAATATTTTATTGAATTGCTACACTACAATAAACACTTTAGTAGGCAATAATGAACAAAATGTTTCCTTTGCTTAAAAAATGTTTACGGGTTACTAGTAGAGATAGCCAAGAAAAATAAAGTTCTAGTACATTGTAAAAATTGTTATCATATTGATAAGCCCACTTCTCCATTCCAGGATGCTTATGTGATCATATGTGATCATAAAATATAGCAATAAAAGTCCAATTATATAAATGGGGCAAAAAAAAGTCAACTTGAGCTTGGGAAATTTAGCACAAGAGACCTAACATCAGAAAGAGATGTAGGACATAATGAATGCCTTTTAATTATTTGAGGATACAAAGGTTTACTGTGACCTAAATCAATTGGATGGAGAATGACTAAGTAATATCTAAGAGTGAGATAATAAATTATCAACCACATATTCTATAGCTGTGGTTGATGTTGGTGTTGTGGATAATTCTGTGTTCAATCAAAAAGTAACAGAGTCTTGCCCATGAAACCCTAAAGAAAAAAGGATACACAGAAAGCGCACCACAGTTATCATGCAAGTATATATTACATACGAAATAAGTAATAGAAGAGTTGGAGGACTCTGAATGTCTTTAGCTAAAGTGTTTTCTTTGTTGTCCAAGAATGTAAGTTTAATTCCAAAAGAGTAATAGTCTCCTGAATGTTTAATTTTTCAGAGTATGATAATTTGGAAAGAAATCCCTATAAGCCAAGCTCGACATTTTTGATGTGCTCACTTAATACTTTTGTGAAGGAATAAATGACATCATAGTACTTATTCTGAAATTCTAAGATTCCCTTGGATATTTTTATTTTGCAAGATTTCTCCCCTCCCCCAGGAGTTGGTACAGGGCTTATTTGTTGGGGCATAGCCCTGATTTGAATCACTGTTCTGATATGTATTGGCTGTATGTGATCACTTATTTCCTATGACTCTTTATGCTTCATTCTTTAGAAGGAGGAGAAAAACAAATTGGCTGTTAAAATCTTAGAGGGATAGATAAAAAATTTAATAGAGTTTAGAATATAATATTCACATGACATAAATATTTGTTTTATAGCCTTATGTTGCTTTGCATAATAAATAGAACTAATAAAATTAGCTCTTTCATGAAAAGCATAAAAAGAAATCAATTGCTATTTGTTGCTTTCTGTTTCATCATAATTCACCGTACACTACTTCCTTCACTTTTACAACTCCATGTTATTTGCAATCATGATTCTTTTTGCCCAGAATATTCATATAATTGAATTTCTTGTATTTACTGGAAGTACTTCTTGGATAATGCAGGTGTTGTGAGCAACCCCGTCTTTTACATTGATACAGCATGTGGTATATGTTTTTATGAAAAAAGTTATTCTATATGTCAATATCTACCTTTTTAACTGTCATCTGAAATCCCAGAAGGTGAAGATAGTATTATTGTATTAACCCAAATGGCTAGCACATACTTGCAACTTAGTTGCTTTAAAAAATATTTTTAGAATAATATATGAATGAATTTTCATAATCATATAAGAATTGGGAAGAATTTACATTTGGGAAATTCTTATTCTCTTTATAGGAAACAATTCACATACAGATATTGAGTTAGAAAAAATAGCGCATGCATAATCACTTTAAGCATCAATTATTTACCAGATATTATTTACCAAATCAATTATTTACCAGATATTATCTTAGACTATTCAATATTTATTAATTATTATGGATTTTCTGTTTCCTTGTGCATGGATTTTAAAATGAGAAATAAAACTCAGTGTTTTCTGGATGCAACCTAAAAGTGCTTGAAACAGTTTGGCATCTTCTAGAAATCTATGACATGGTTGTATATACATAACTTCTTTCAAATAGACTTGGAGCATAATAGATGTGGCAGGGTACACAGGTCAAACTGTGTGGAAGATCAATTGATGATTAATGATATCAATCAGAGCCACAGAGAGCTACTAGGGGGAGTTTTGTCACTGCTTGGAGACCATCATCATCTTATTCCCAGTAACTTTTTAAAATTAGGAAAAAATGCCATTCGTTACAGCACACAAAGTAATCAAGGAAGATAATGAGTGAAAACTAAGGTGACAGCCAAGGATTTTTTATATGCTTGTGATTTTAGAGCTAAAATGAACCCATATTTATTAATTATTGTGAAATTGGAAATAATTCTGCTAAGAGAAAAGTCAGGAAAACTGATATTCTATCTTTGATCATGGTAACATTACTTGACCTATAGGCAGTTTAGATCCAAACTGCTGCATTTGTTTAAATTTTAATTATGTGTTTTTTTTCTCACTAGAATTTTAGAAAACTTAGGGTAAGAGTCATCTTTTTTCATCACTATATCCACAATATGTGTCATAAGATACATAAGTATAACCTGAATGAATTAATTGTACATTAGAAAGTCCTTTAACAATTTAACATGAACTGTTAATTATTAGAAATGAAAGTCAGTGTATAATACTCTCTATGGGGTTTTGTAAAATGCTATTGCTTATGACTTGTGTAGTGCAAAGTGGAGATGTAGAACATTATTGCAGCAGATTTCATTTTGCTTCTCTATTTCCAGAAACTCTAAAGTTATTTCTGTACCCTCAGAGTAAAACTCAGTTCTATAGAAAGTTGAACTCTCACCAGTTTACCATAATCCATCATTTTCCTGATATTATTTTATAGTTTCTGTTCTCTGGTTTTTGTTATTCACTTTTAGAGTTATTTAATCTACCTAAAAATACCTCTGAACAAGAGATAATAATAATTGTAGGTACCTCATAAAGTTGTTGGCAGGATTAAATGAGCCAATACATAGAAAATAATTAAAATAGTCCTGCAATATAATTGCTATAAATCTTTATTTCATCTTCTGCTCTCCTCCTCTTATTACTTCTCCCCATTATTATCATACTTATTAATATCATAAAAATGCTGTATAAAAATGGGTTTCTAATATTTTCAAATATTTACATGGTTACTTATATTTTACTTTCAAACTCTTGGTTATTGTGAGAATTTGATTTGACAGAAATGCCAAGTAGAATCACATTTCCTAAGAACATTCATATCTAGTACCTGGTAAGAATGAATAGTTCCCAGGTCCACATCTATCCTGACACTTACATCATCAAACTAAATGCCTTAAGTCTCTTCCAAAGCTAACCACCCCTATTCAAAATCATAATCGTTCACCCAGATTTTCTACTTCATCCAAATACACGTGAATAAAATGCTTTAATTTTCAGAAAACTATGAAGCAATATTCAGCTTTATCAAATGTATTGAATACAACGTGGTGGAAATAAAAAATGCATGTTTAACTATAATGAAGGAAAGAGGGTGTTGAGAGGATATGTATAATAGAAAGCATTTACTGTAACTTGATTTTTTAAAGCCTTATTAATACTTTCATTTACCAGAGAAAAACATAACCTTTTGGATGGTGCCCTTAAAGGCTTGCTTCACTTGCTGGTTCCTCAGGGTGTATATAAACGGATTCATCATAGGAGCAATGGAGGTATTGAGAATAGCTACTCCTTTGGTCAACGACGCTCTTTCTTTTGCAGAGGGATTAGCGTACATGAATATGCAGCTTCCATAGGAAATGGAAATGACAATCATGTGGGAGGAACATGTAGAAAATGCCTTTTTTCGCTGACTAGCAGAAGGAAGTTTCAAAATTGTCCTAATGATAAACATGTAGGATAGAATGATTAATGCCAAAGTGAAAAGCAGAATGACTATTGCAGAGTAAAAACCAATCGCTTCTAGGAGCCATGTGTCTGAGCAGGATAATTGCAATAGGGGGAAATAGTCACAAGCAAAGTGATCAATGACATTGGAGCCACAGTAATCTAACTGGAGAAAAAGAATAACTGGTGGGAAGATATTTAAGAACCCTGCCAACCAAGCACAAAAAACAAGCAATATGCAGACTCTCTTGTTCATGATGGTCATATAATGCAGGGGTTTACAGATGGCTACATAACGATCATAGGACATGGCTGTTAGAAGGTAAAATTCAGTTATACCCATAAAGATGAAGAAAAATAACTGAGCTGTACAACTATTGTATGAAATCGTTTTGTCTCTGGTGATAATGGTGGCCAGAAATCTAGGGATACAGACAGTTGTAAAAGTTATTTCTAATACAGAAAAGTTCCTGAGGAAGAAGTACATGGGGGTCTGTAGATGGGAGTCCACCAAGGTGAGAGTGATGATGGTCAAGTTTCCAGTGACACTTAATATATACATGATAATTAAAAAGAGAAAAATCACAATCTGAAACTCCGGGTCATCTGATAGCCCTAGAAGAATGAATTCTGTGGGTGCTGTGTAGTTTTTCATTGCAGATCTTTATTTTCTCCTTTAGAAGAGAAAATGTATGTTTCCCCTACAGAATGTTAAAAAAAATTAAAACTGTTGAAGACAGGCATAACATTTAAAAAATATACATAATTAATGAATAATCTATAAAATTTTAAGGGTTCCCCATTAGCAACCCTCTGTGGTTTCCAATCTGCCTTTCATTCCCATAACAAATAATATAAGAAGTGAAATATCAGTCTTTCTTCACTGAAAATACATTATTTCAGGCCATGAATAAAAAATTATGATGCTAACATTTAAACAGAATCCACTTCTTCTAATATTTCTTCAAAACTAACCTTCCAGTTACTTAAATCAATCTGGAATGTAGAACAATCTAAATATAGAGTTTAAAAATTTACTGATGTTATTTAGTTCTATCTTGAAGTGTCATATTTTGAGAAACTCAGTCTCATATAGGTTAGGAGACTTTCAGGAGGTTAAACAACTCGTCACCACAGTAAACCATCTCACTTTAGAAAAAATAATGCATGTCTATTCCTGGGATAGACAGTTTTGCTGGCATTGCCTCCTGGTATTACTTATGGGCTTGGTTGATGCTAGCACCTTCCCTGATCCACTTTTTTTTTCTTTTTTAGCAAAAAGATGAGAAGAATAATAAAGGAAAAAATCTGTTGAAAAAACAAATAATTGCCTAAAAACATTTTAATTCATATCATATACAATTTGTTTTTTTTTTTTTGTAGTTTTTTCTTTTTTAAACAATATTGTTATAGCAAAGAAACAAGTAGATGGTCAAAATAAGACTTAATGGGAAATAGGTATTTCAAATAGCAAATGCCTTTTTAAAATCCTATTTCTATCACAGCATAACATCCAAACTTATTTAGAAAAATGAACAAACCAAGAGTTACTGCTGTGTTTCTGCTTTGGGACTACATTTATAGTCTTCTCAGTAATAAACAACCATAAAACTTTTACTACTGTAAGGGCTGTAAGTCCACAATCATATGTGCAAATAATCTTTTAAAATATGTAAATAAAGTGGAATAATATGTATGAAATTTAAAAGTAACAAACTTACTTACTCTTTGGTTTTTCTCAGTAATTTTATCTCAAATTCTACCATCTAGTTTTCTTAAATAACCATGTAATTTCAGAGCTGGAAAATCGATTTATCAATTTATTTGGTTTCTTTTGGACTTGTAAAACAAATGTAGTTATTTTTCATGGCTTTTAGACCTTACAGTTCTCCCCTAGAATATAATATTTGACCCACAATACTCTTAATTCCTGATATTGTAAAATTGTTGGAACATTTTATTATGTTACAATGAATTCCTGCTTTTCCTCCCTCTTACCCAAGATCCATTTATAAACATAGTTATACCTGGATTGGTTAGTAAAGTAGTCTTCCATTTTCTCCTTTCCATGTAATACACAAACACTTGTTAAAACATTCTTCTTTGAATTTATGAAAACATTTAAAATAATATTTTAAAACCTTATAATTATATATTCATAAAATTTAATTAATACTTCCCTTAGGCTTCAGACAATGTTACATTTTCCTGAAAATGCTGATTTGAACAATAGAAAATAAGGAATATCCCTCTCTATGTATGCTACACAAATGGAGTTAGATTTATTTTATGTGTCTTTCTTGTTGGCTCATGGGAATTCATTATGTAAGCAAAGTGTGCCAAGGTGAGGCATCAGTAGAAAATACAGATGAATCATTGGTATTAGTCATTTTATAAATATTGATAAGAAAGTATAAAAACATAATTATTAGTGTAAATGAGGCAAAAATATAAACCACATGTGATAGTGAATGTGTGAAACTTTGATTTAGAATTTGATTATTCTGCAACTGTACTAATCCATACATTTCTTCCAGAAAATCTGGACCTATCTTCAGGAGAATTAGCTTACTTATATAAGCGTATCTCTTGAATTTTGGAAACCCAGAAAAGAGACTTTTCTATTTCACTGAGATAGTAGAAAACACAGCTTTGGATTTCCAGTTTGACTTAATTGTCTTCTGAAACGGACAATATTAAGGACCTATGGGGAGTTTTATGCCTGTATTGGTCCTTTGAATTTTTTTTTTTTTTTTGAGATGGAATCTCGCTCTGTTGCCCAGTCTGGAGTGCAGTGGCACGATCTTGGCTCACTGCAAACTCTGCCTCCCGGGTTCATGCCGTTCTCCTGCCTCAGCCTCCTGAGTAACTGAGACTGCAGGCACCTGCCACCACTCCTGGCTAATTTCTTGTATTTTTAGTAGAAACGGGGTTTCACCGTGTTAGCCAGGATGGTCTCGATCTCCTGACCTCGTGATCCACCCGCCTTGGCCTCCCAAAGTGCTGGGATTACAGGCATGAGCCACCATGCCCGGCCGGTCCTTTGAATTTAGGGAAACCCTTCCCAAGTCCCACTACCAGTGTCAGAGCAATATTTGCTAAAAGTTGCATTTCTTTGTCTAGTATTAAAAGAAAAGAAAACAAAACAAAACAGATACTGGCAAGCATAGGGAGAAAAGGGAATGCTTCTTAACTATTGGTAGGGATGTAAATTAGTGCAACCCCTATGGAAGACAATTTGGAGACTTATTAATGAACTAAAAATATAGCTACCATTTCATCCAGCAATCCCACTTCTGAGTATGCAAAGGAAAATAAACCACTAAATAAAAACGATATTTGCATTCGTTTGTTTATCACAACACTATTTACCACAGCAGAGTCATGTAATCAATCTAAGTGTCCATCAACAGATGACTGATAAAGAAAATATGGTATATATATGCATAAATTATATACCATGGAATACTACTCAGCCATAAAAAGAATAAAATAACGTCTTTTGCAGCAACATGGATAGAACTGGAGGCCATTATCCTAAGTAACATAACTCAGAAGCAGAAAGTCAAACACCATATGTTCTCACTTATAAGTGGAAGTTAAACAATGGGTACACGCTAACATACAGAGTGTAATAATATAATCTGGTTAAATGCAAAAAGCTTCATAAAAATCAGTTTAAACTTTTCTCAGATTTCACCTTACAGATTATTACTTTGGAATTGTCTTATGATATTCCTATACTTAGTACAGAATTGTTTCCTTGGAGTCCTCAGCGGGGGAAAATGACTTTTAATTTTTTTTCTAACAGAAATTGAAAATAGTAATCATCCAAATTACTCTCAAAATCTGTAGGTTTTCAGATATGTTCTATTTATATTCCAAGTGTCTCTATTTGTTAACTAGCCATCTGTAGTTGAAGATAATTTTTAACTTAAAAATCAGAAGTTCTCCTGAAAAGTAGGACATTAAAATGTTCTTATGAAAACCATAACAACATTAATTTATAATTTGTGGGACTAATGGAGCAACCTATGGGTTTTGGATTATAAATGTAATTTAGCTACATACAATATTGTGACTTTGAACAAATTATTTAATATCTCTGAATTTTAGCTTTTTTCATTTTTTAAATCAAAATAATATTTCATGGAGATATTGTGAGGAAAATTTTAAATATAAAGTGAAAACAAATTATACATAATTTTACAGTATGGTTGATCCTTGAACAACATGTGTTTTAATTGCACAGGTCTACTTCTATATGAACTTTTTTTCCATAACTATATTGGGAAAACTTTTGGAGATTTGCAACAATTTAAAAAAACTTGCAGGTAAACCATGTAGCCTAGAAATGTGAGACCCAGGTGAAGTGTCACTACTGATGGTGAAAGTGCCCCCAAAAAGTGGAAAAATATGACATTACAAGAAAAACTTGAGTTGCTTAATATGTACCAGAGATTGAATTCTGCAGCTGTGGTGGCCCACTATTTCAAAATAAATGAATCCAATGTAAGGACCATTGTAAAAAATGAAATAAGGAAATTAACCAAAGAAGCAGTTTCTGCTGACCAAGAGGCCATAGACAAATTCCCAAGCACTATTAAGAAAATCATTGAGGAGAAAGGACATTTGCCCTTACAGTTTTTTTAATGCGGACAAAAGTGCACTATTCTAGAAAAAAATTTTCACTAAGGGCACTTATTAGTCAGGAAGAGAAATGAGCACCAGGTTTTAAGGAAAGAAGGGAAGGCTAACTCTAATTCTTGTGCAAATCCAGCTGGATTTGTAATCAGAACTGCTCTTATTTATAAAGCCTCCAATCCCTGATCCTTGAAAGAAAAAATAAACGCCACCTGCCAGTCTTGGTTGTACAACCGGAAAGAGTGAACAAGAATCCTTTTTCTAGATTGGTTTCGCAGTGCTTCATCTCTGAAGTCAGGAGGTACCTCGCCAGTAAGAGACTGCATTTTTTAGTTCTTTTGATATTGGGCAATACCCTTGGCCCCCCAAACCGCATAAGTTCAATGCAGAAGGCACGAAAGTAATCTACTTGACCCCAAACACAAGTCTCCAATTCAGCCTTTAGATTAGGGGTCATAAGGACCTTTAAGGCTCATTATTCATGGTACTCTATGGAAAGGATCGTCAATATTATAGAACAGATCTCTGAGAGAACATCATTAACGCTGAAAAGTTTACACCATTTAAGATGCCATCATTGTTACAGAAAAAGCTGTGAAAGCCATCAAGCCCAAAACAATAAATTTGTGCTGGAGAAAGCTGTCCAGATGTTGTCCGTGACTTCACAGGATTTAAGACAGAAACAATCAAGAAAATCATGGAAGAGACTGTGGATATGGCAAAAAAAAAAAAAAAAAAAAAAAAAAAAAGAGGCGAGTGAAGGAGTTCAAGATATGCATCTTGGAGAACTTCAAGAGCTAATAGACACCACTAAAGGAGAAAACAGCAGATAACCCAATGGAGATAAGTGCTCCCAAACCAGAGCCAGAAGATGAGGAAGAAGATACAGAAGAAGCAGTGCTAGAAAACATATTTACACTAGACAATCTGGCACAAGGGTTCTGATTATTCAAGAATTCTTTTGACTTCTTTTATGACATGAACCACTCTGTGATATGAACACTGAAACTA